TTTGCAGTAATTAAATATTGGTAGTAACATTGATAAATTGTAAAGATTGCTTACCCTTATTGTAAGTTAATAATCTATTTATAATAATGCAAATTAAAAACATTGAAATCATCTCTGATCATATATGTATTAATTATAGAATTCAAATTAATCATTCAATCATATCAATTGTGCAAAAATAATGAAGGTCTGAAAAAGACTTGTTTTAATATAAATTTGAATGCTTTTTATATGGTTAAATATTTGTAAAAGCAATTCAATTAATACTGAGTGTGAAATGAGAACTTTTAGAAATTATTGTGTAAAGTTGTCACATTGTTATGCTGAATTTGCATCTTACTTAGATTGAGGAATAGTTTAATCATATAATTTAAGGACATTTATTGTGAATATTTGTAGATCAAAAGACTTATTATAATAATAATTTAACAAAATTTATTCAATCAGCTTGAACAAATTAGTTATCAACTTGTAAATTTATTGATATTAATAATTCATTATACAGTCAATATGATAGTGACTAATTATAGTAAGTAACAAACATTAGGTAATTTTTGTGAATCAAACGCTTGTTGGAAAAATAATGTTTGTCTATTCAATATAACTAATTAATTATGCTTATTTAGATAAATTTACTTTTGAAGATTCAGCATCTTATGGATCCTTGAGGACAATACACAAAATTTTGTCATAAAGTTACTATTTATAATCATGCGAATCCTTAATATAGCATTTTCAATATTCAGAGCTTATAGATAAATTATATTTTTCATCCAACTCATTATAATCATGGAAAATTAAAAAATACATTTTTTTGATAGCTAAGTAAATTGTTTATGAAATAGGTGATTAACCTTTGAAATTCAAATCTATATTTAATTCATAAAGCACCATAATAAGGGTAGGATTTATGATTTCAGAGAATCATAAGAAAATGAGGATTATACATAAAGAAATTTTCAAGTCTGAAACACCTCTAATACTATTACATAAAAAAAATCTTCAGTAATTCAGACCTATAATATAATTTTTGAATTTTCTTATGAATTCAATTGAAAGTATTAAAAATGCTAAGAGAATTAAACAAAAATGTTTGTTATCCAATAATTGACAAAAAATTATTACATCTAAATTGAAAAAGGAAAAGAATGAATTGATATATAGCTATTCGATATTGTTTGGTGAAATGTGTATTTACTTTGTAAACTTATTTATCTGTAAAACAATAGACCTTGTATGAAGGAAAAGATATAACTAAAGATAACTTTTATAATCACCTCTTGTGTTTACTAGTTTATAATCCCCTCCTGAATCCACTTGTAATGTCAATTTTTTTAAGCTAAAACATTAATTCTTTTTAATTTAAATCCTTCTTAAAATACTAATAAATTACATTATATGGTTCATCATGAAAATGTCAAATAGATTGAAACAAAATTCCTATAAAATTTACCAAATTTTTGTTAAAGATGTAGACCTAGGTAATTTTTAGATCGATTTTATAACCCTTTAAAGTTTTTAAATCTGTACATCACCAAATGCTAACCAAAATTGATTTTTGGATATTAACACTGTGTGTTTTACCAATAAAAATTACACTAAAAAAATGTTTGATTCCAAGCCACATTATAAATGAAGGTAAGTATTTTTATTTTGGAGGTTCAACATCCTGTTCTGATGAAACTTTCACCTGCATTGATATGCTTTTCATTAAACACCATCTGTTAAATATTATTTTCTTAGGTAGGTATGATTAACAATCATTCAGTACACTTATGTTGAGTTTAATGAAGGATGATAATCTAGGAATGGGGTATTAAACAATAAATTCTTTATTGTAGGAAGTATTGTAAAAATTTATACTATTATAGTATTTAGGATAATAAATACTAATTATGAGCTAATTTATTTGATTTAATCATTCCCTTTAAAATTACTAAATGCTTCTAAAAACTAACATAACTCAATTTACAATACTTTCTAAGTTGAAATGCCAGATAGTAATTTTGATTTCAAAATTGCTTAAATTAAAAAGAATTGTTTTAATACTTCAAAGTCCTCTAATTTCCTCTTAATCTCTATCTTTGTTGCAACTAATCTAGAGGAGTATTAGTTATTCTTTTAAAAAGTTAAGTTGTTAATTATTGAGCTGTTTCTAATTCTTGATTTTTTAATTAATTTCGAAATTGCATTTTCAATACAGCTGGGAAATAATTTTAATATTGGATTACAATC